TCTTCCCGCAGTCGCTGCACTCGTAGGGTTTCTCCCCGGTGTGCACTCGCTGGTGCTGGATGAGCTGTGAGTTTCCAGAGAAACTCTTCCCGCACTCGGCACACTTGTAGGGCTTCTCCCCGGTGTGGGTCACCTGGTGCCGGATCAGCTTTGAGCTCATGGTGAAGCTCTTTCCGCACTCGGAGCACTCGTAGGGCCTCTCCCCTGTGTGGATTCTCTGGTGCTGGATGAGATGCGACCGCTGCCGGAAACTCTCCCCGCACTCGGCACAGGCGAAGGGTTTCTCTCCAGTGTGGATTCTCCGATGCTGGACAAGGTTGGAGCTCACCCGGAAGCTCTTCCCGCAGTCCCCACAGATCATCAGTCTCCCTACAGAAGGATTTCTCTGCTGGATAATATCTGGCAGCCTCCTGAAACTTCTTCCACGCAGCATTGTTCGGCTTTGCCTCTTCCCCAGAGGTCTCTGAACCCTTTCTGACCTGCGTGGGAGGACTGGGTCCTCTGCAGGACTCTGGGAACTGTTCTTGGAGAATCCTGAGAGTAAACCTTCAGACTCCACTGGCCCAGGGATGCCTTGGTGGTGGGCATTTTCCTCTTTCTTGCTCACAATCCCATCTTCAGCTGCAATAAAATGAGAATCCAGCAAGAAGTCACAGGCAGGACAGGAAACTTTGGACAGGGGAAATAAAAAGGGGCCAAATTCCAAAAATTCAGTGGATTGACTTTAAGTATAAAAAGTTCTGATATATCCCTCCAGACTACACAGTGGGTTTTTATTGTTCACAGGAACAAACCCTGGAAATAGCCCTGCATGCTTTGCCAGAACCTGAATCTACTGAAACTACTGGCATATTAGAGGTAAAAGTTTAGCACTTGAATGGGAAAGATGGCTGCTCGTCCACAATATTATATCTGAAAATGTTATTAATCCAGGAGTCAGAGGAGGGCCACCAAGAACTGCCTTGTTCAGCAGAATATGACTTTGGTTGCAAGAGATGTAGCCTCCCTGCTTTTGTGCTGCTAGTACATCAGAGAGAGAGAAGATGCTCAAAGGAGACCCTGGCCCCACAGCATGAGACACGGAGACTGCCTGGAGCCTGGCTTATGCCAACCTTAGAGCAGAAGAATGGTAACTTTATGCTTCCACTGGCACAGAACAAATCTGTTGTGAAAGGTGGTTGGTGAACTGATGATCTGCCATGGCCAATTCCAGATTACATGCTGAGGAAATCCGATAAATGCAGATGAAGGTAGTGCAAGTCAGTGGAAGTAAGGCTAGCTGAACAGTTACGGGTGGCTCCTGGGACACAGTCAAGGAACAAATCCCTGCCCTCTTACTCACCTAAAGCCTTGCAAAAGCATAACCAGTATGAAGCTATGCTGCGCAGACTCAAGGTCATCTGAAAGCCCTTCCAAGACAAGGGGCTTGCACAGATTTCCAGGATGTTTACTCAGAGCAGTGACTCCTTCCAGCCCACTGCTCTAATGTGGTTTGATGAGCACCCTAGCAGGTTTAAAATCACGTACCCCCAACAGTGCTGTGGCTTTTGCTGTCAGCGGGGACATGTAGCTTGCAGGCCTACTGAGGGCTTATATGCTAAACTGCAAGACAGGACCTGTGTGGCATCCACCCTTCTGCTGTCAGGGAAGGGTAAATGGATGTTGGGGGAATGTATGTGGGATGTAGAAATGGCAACATGCATCTCTGAAGAGAGACATCACATCCAGGTTTAAGACAAGTCCATCAGGGCAATATATTTTCAGATGCTCCCTTTATACAGACTTCCGGGGTGAAGGATGACTTGCTGTTGACTATATGTAAACACAAAATATGGAACAGACTGAGGACTAAAGCCACAAACATGCAGATGTCCAGATTTGCCTACTTAAATATTCAACAGCTACCTCCTGGTTCTCTGAAAACTCTTGTGAAATACATTGGTAACATATCAGTCGCATGGGATTGATATACAAACCACAGGCACTTCCTGTGGTCTGGCAGAGTTGCAATAAGGAAGTGCATGCCTTGGAAGAGGAGAGTCATTGCTGAACTGTAAGTATGCAATAAAGGAAGGAGAGTCTAGAATTTCAACCCAGACTGATATACATACATATCTAGTCTTCCTCTTTCCAGTCAGTATAAGAAAATATCACAATATGATTTCACAGTGAACTCCTGAGATAACCTTTTATGGCAGCTTGGTGTGGTAGTGATGCCACTTTTTCCCTCATGTAGTTTTCATTAGTCATCCCTTGAGAGGAACAGACACTGGAACTTTGATATTCATCATGAAGGCTTTTCCATTTGTCTGCAGCTACTTCATCCAGGCCTGGAGGAAAAGAGAAAGGTGATATCCGAAAGCAGGATAAGAAAAGGACATTTCTGTTAGGCCAGCATGAAGCTCTTAACCTGTATGTCAGGCTTACTGAGTAGACAATGGAGCCAGTGAAGTTATTCTGTTGCTGTTGTGCCCAAAGAGATATCCTTTACCTACACTAGCTTTGGTACTTACACAGAATTTTGGTTCTTTACACAGAACTTGAAAAGGCCCTCAAAGCACACAAGAATCAAGTCTTCTATGGTGTTCTGTACTTTTTGGAGAAGATCGGGAGTTTCAAGCTTCTTATTTCAATGATTACAGCCATGGCTCCAGCTCTCAACTTCCACAACCATATTTGTTACTTTTGAGATACAAGGTATCATCACTGGCATCTGGGAAAAAGTCTGTAAAGGGTTTGATCAAAATAATGATGACAGAAACTCACTGGAGGTATTTTAAGTGGCTGAGCTGGCAAAAATGGGTAAGCAAGAAAGATAGGAAGAACATGGTTCTTCCTCAGCCCATGCCCATTTGAGTTGATAGTAAGACCTCCGATATGCCCAAGACTGCCAGTGCTATAGCTGCAAGGCAAGCTCCAGACAAGCAAAGTACATATTGGAGAGAACCTAAATATCACCTTAAATGTACCCCTGGCTCTCTTTCTCAAGAGAAGTAGTAGAAGGAGTTTCGGCTGATGCTCTGGCCTGTCTCACAGCAGCAGGAGAACACAGCAATCATTTCTGGCACAGAATTCCAAGAGATCAAGAAAAGAAACCTGTGAGAAATATTAAAAATAACACACCACCATCGTGAGTAAGCTTCTGGCTGCTGGACAACAGTAGGCTGTGCCGGGGAGGTGTCAGTGTGTGCTTATCTTGTCCCTTTCCCTGGCATCCACCTCTAGCCAGGCCCCAAGTCCCTGAGCTCAGAGCTCCCCAGACCTTTGGTCTAACCCAGCAGCGCTGTTCACATGACCTCACAACACTGCTGGACTCTGACTGTGGTACCTCACTGTCAGGGGACTGGAAAGTGACTGATGTGATGCCAGAGAAAGGGCTTGAGGGGAGATCTGGGGCCCAACATTCCAAGCAAACAAACAGAAACCTGCTTAAGAGAATTACTGAACAGATGGCCAAAGAGAGCAGACTGGGGAAGAACTGGCATGGCCTTTGGAAAGAGATGCCTCCCTTCACAAACCACTTGGAGTTCTTCAGAGATGTTACCAGTTTTAGCAAAAGGGAGATCTAGAGTCCAAAGGCTTTCCCAAAAGACATTAGTCCTTCACCAATAAACTAAGCTGTCGTGGGATGAATGACCCTCAATAAGGTGGTGAGGGAAAGGGGCAGTGGAAACATCTGCTGATGATTCTGTGTTATTCAGGGTTAAAGACACAAAGGCTGACTGTAAGCTGTGGCAGAGCCTTATGATAGTGAAGCAGGTGACAAGGGAATGACAGGGGACATTCACTGCAGATAAACATAAAGAACTGCAGAGGGGAACAGCCTGTATATCTTGCACTTATACCAGGATGGGCCTAGGATGTTTTGTTCTTCAGGAATAGCACCTGGGAGTTAGAGCAGATGGATGAAGACTGTAGCTCCTAGGCAGACAAAACAGCTAGTCAAATGTTAGTGATTGATGGGAAAAAAAATAAGAGAATAAAAGAAAATTCTGCCTTGCTGCTGAAACTCCATATCCTGTCTGGATAGGGGGAGGATGGATCCCCCATTTCAGAGAAACTCTAACAGAGTTGAGGAAGATACAGAGGTGTGACATGATCAAAGGCACAGAACAGCTTCAGTATAGGAGATGACTCGACTGCCCATTCTGCTGGGAAAAGGCACAGCTGACAGGGGATATCACAGGGAACTGTACAAACACAAGTGGCCTGTGGGGTGGGTAGGGATCCATCCTGCACCGTCTGTTCTAAATTAAGATCTACTGACATCAAGTGAGCCACTAGAAGGCAGCTTCAAAGCAAACCAAAGGAGGCAGCAACTCATAAACCAGCTAAATAAGCTGTGGAACTCCTTGCTGTGAGCTGTCATGGATGCTAAAATGTGCACAACTTCAGAAGGCAAGAAAATTAAATAGAGAGCTACAAGATATCAAGACATCACATGTCTAGTTCAGGAGTTTCTGAAGCCACGGGTCGCTTGGGCCTGGGAAAGCAGACAGGGACACACCGCTGCTCGTCTGCGCTTCTCTGCGTCTCCAGTACCGGCCCGTCAGACACAGCGGGCAGAGCTGGAAGGACCACGGTCTAACCCAGTCCTGCCGCTCCCGCGCATTCCGGTGGGATTTGGGAAATTCTAGAGCGGATTTTCTCAGGACGGGTTGACAGAGATCGCGCCGGCCCTCACCTGCACGGGTGCCACTCAGCGCAGTCCTCCCTTGGTAGACGTGGAGGTGGGAGAACCACAGTTCCTCCTTCTGATCCATGTGGGAGATCATCTCCAGCTCGGCCCCGGGGTCCTGCTCCGGGAAGAGGAACGGGGAGGGTCAGGCGAGCTGGGCTTTAGCTGACGGCCACGACCAGAGAGGGGCTCCCGTTCGCGGGAACCAGCCCCTGTCCGCTCCGCGGGGCGCACGGCGGGGAGCACCGGGCTCCCCAGCGCCCCTA